CAGGTCCAGCATTAGCCATGGCCTGTAGGGTTCCTGCTCCAATAGCATCAACCATATCTTTGAACTTACGGGTTTCAATAGAAGAAGACTCGCTAGATTTAAGTAACTCAAGCTCATTCTGTTCTTTAACATATTTCAATTCTGCTTCACGTGCTCCAGTGAGTCTTTCTAATTCAGATTCAGCCTCAATTTTCATGGCTTGTGCTTTAAGTTTAGCTTGTTCGACGGCAGCTTCACCCTCAATGCGATTAGCCTCTGCTCGAGACTGTGCTTCAGCTTTAGCTTGACCAGTACTTTCAACAGCAGCACTGTGAGCCTGTAATTCTAACAGTTCTCTCCTAGATTTTTCAGCTTCTGCCTCATCCATAATTTTCTGTCGTTCAAGACGACCTTTAGCCTCTTGTTCCAAACGTTCAGCTTCATGTCTGTAAGAAATTATTTAAACATTACTTAATGGATTGCATTTCACGCCAACATGGAAAATCATGTTATTTCCAAATTTAATGTTACAAGTCTATCCAAACATTGAAATCTTCATTTAATTTAAAGGATGTATGGCTCTATTTTTTGGAATCATGAAATAGACGAAAATGGTTCTAAAAGCACATATTAATGTAATATAAATATATGTAAAGTGATTTATATTCAATATTTGGGAAAAAATATTGTAATTTCTTATCAATTATGTTTGGTGAAATACATGGAACAGTTCAAATTGAACAGCAGTCATTTACTCCTGCTTAGTCCATTGTGTTGTAGGATATGTTTTTATTTGTTCATTACAAAATAACACCCGAAACCATAGAATACACGACACATGTAATGATTATAAAATGTTAATTGTGTCTTAAATATTGGATATTAGGATCATATATTCCACGGCAAGATAACAATATCAATACTGATTGAAATTTACCAATACTGAATTCTAATTCATGTTTTTAATTTCGAATATTATGGAAATATTGAGTTAGAGGTTTAGCTCCTTTAACTTTGAATTAATACATTTATGGTTTATATTGTCCTAGTAAGAAAAAATATGTTTGGAATATTTTGTGAACTGACCTGGCAGCAGCTTCCTGTGAGTTAGTTGTGATTTCAATAGCTAACTGTACAGATTTCATCAATGAATCTCTTGTTCTTTGATCAACAGGCTCAACAGACTGAATATCAATACTTGTAATAACTAAACTATTCTGAGGGAAATGGAACTTATCCCGTACTTTATTATTATCATCAAAACCAAACAGAGCAGATCGAATAATCTTTGCAGAATTCTGAAAAGTAAAATATGTTGAATTGTGTAACATCTAGTTTACTTGTTGATCAATTAGCCATTAAAAATTATATCAGACCTAATATTGGTCTCAATTGTATGTTTAATACCACTATCCAAATGGAATGTTCTTTAAGTCATTTTTTGTATTTTCTAAATAAAATGGTGAAGTGCGACTTTGTAATAATCATTTGTTAACCAACATTTTTGTATTTTATCAATAAATCTTATTGAGTGTGACAGATGCCAGTTGATGAAATGTTTAAGAACATACCTTGTGGAAATCATCAAATTGCACCTGAGCTACAGCACCTCGAACTCTTGAAGCAATTGCTTTACAAGCATCACCAGTAAAATCAGGAACACTGAATAATTTTGCTGCCTCTTCTGGTGTAGCTTTGTCTGTGATAGCGAAATGCCTAAGAAAAAGTTAGGAAACCAATTAAAAAGTATGAAGCTTATTTGTGGATTCCTATTAATGTCTGCCATGGTACTGTACATAAATAGTCCATTCTTTCTAAAGGCTATTTTTTGTTTAATATTAAATTATTTATAAAAGTTTATCAAATGTATTGTTATATACATCCCTGACAAAATAAGACACAATCTTACCAGTTATAAGACAGCTGTAACTGAAGTCTGGCATGATCAGCTGTTTCTACTGTGATAATATCAGTGCAGAAATCTGGTCCCAGCAATAAACACAGAGATTTAATGACATTCGGTTTCTTGGGTTTGCCACCAGATAAACTCAACTGGGTAAACTGTTCATCAGGTCCTAACATGACCAATTCCGGTCCAAAAATAACTCTAAAAAATAGAATATAATACTAAATTATAACTCATAATAAACTTTGTTTTGTCCATTCATTAAAAACATTGTGCATAAAATAGCAAAACAATCCAAAAGGTATAAAAGATTAAAAGCATTTGGTCGAGAAGCTGATGTCCCAAATCATTGACAAATATATTGCTTATCTCTGCTTAACCCCATACACCATGTTTGGATATTCTACAACTTCAATTAGAAGCAGAAAAGGTGTACTTTTATAAGTATTTTGGATTTGGTACTTTTAAAGCAAGTTGTATGTATTTCACCAAAATTCCTTTTAAGAGAGATTTTAAAAATTTATAAAGATTTTACTTAAAAAATCAACTGTCAAATTAAAATATGCATTTTATCATACCTAGCTTTCTTTTCTTTATAATCGTAAATTTGAACAGCAGCATTGTGGGGAACACGGAAAGTTACAACTCGTGTCTTATCTCTACTTTTTAGAGCTGAATCACGTGCATTTCTATCACTTCTGTCAGCTAGCGGATCTTTTCCTTGAGCCAATAGATTCTCTACTACAGGTGGAAGCTCTTTTTCCCATAACTCTTCATCTTGACTTAACATGTACGTTACACCAGTTATAGAACGAACCTAGTAAAAATAAAAACCAGAGATAAAGAAAAAGAAATTTTATGTGATCCATTTAGAGCTATGATCATTTGATTTTAAATATTTTAGGTCTCTGATCATTTGAATTTAAATACATCAGGTCACAGTAGAAATGTTTCTCTTCAAATGAAAAGCTTTCATTTTTATAATATAGAAAGTTACCTTTCCACTTTTAACATCTCTGACATAGATACCCTCATTTTCATCAAGAGGTATAGACTGTCGTTTCATAATAACTTCAACTTCGACTGGGGGTACATATTCTTTAGGTCCACGAATCATCCATCTGTCTCCAGGTTTTCTCTCAAGCTGAAATAACAATTATATTTTCTATAAATATAGGTTGTCAGGCATTAAAATATATACTAATACCTGGTGGTGGTACTTAACTGTATTTATTCAGCAGTATGTCTATAGACTCACAAGCTTATATATGGGATGTTCTAAATTCACGAAGAATAGCAATATAACTTTTCACGAAGAATAGCAATATAACTTTTATCAATCAGCATTGTCACAGAATTGTCTAGATTCTTAAGGATAAATGTATGATTAAAAGTAACATTTTCTAAACCATATAAAAGAACTAATTAAAGTATAAACCAAGTAAAAAAAATGGAAATGACTGGGTGAATGAACTCTGCTCAAAGCACGATATAATTACTATCCTAGTCTCCAAGATGTATGTAAAGCCTGATTACATGAGCGCTTTCATAATTAGAAGAATGCTCTCAAGATGAAATTTGAGTTTATGTTGAGAGCATTCAAGATTTTACAAACTTAAAAGAAAATAAAAGATGGTGATATAATTCAAATTCCCATGTTCAGGAGAAAATAAAAACTGGTTATCCTACAGCATCATTATGTACCACATCAATCTGTTAATTACCTGTCGTGCTGCGGCTACCTCAGGTGCTGGTTCTTCACGCTTACGTCTTTTTATTTGCGGTCCCTCCTTTAAATACAAGGAGATTGTTTTCATAATCACTCATTACTTACGTATATTTAAGGCATAACTCTCTGTCTGCAATTCTATGTAGTGTATGAACAAATCAATCTGTACCAACCAGGACAAATAAAGCTTTCTTAAAATTTTCTTATAGTCTTAGCCAGCGATCTTTTAGTTATCAAGCCCCTTTTTTAGGGAATAATCTACCATTTAGTTTAAGATGTTGTACATCTCTATATATTCTTTTAAAAAACAACTTAAAACACATTTATTTAATCAGGCTTTTAACTGACTCTGTATACAATCGTTAACATGTCCATAATCTTGTTGTTAATTTATGATTACATTGTCACTTTGTAAAGTGCCCCTGAATATGTTACATGAAAGGGCGCACTATAAATATGCTGTAATAATAATTTCTCTTGAAGTAAGGATTAAGTTAATTGTTCTGGCGGTGAAATGACTAATATTTTAAATTCAACATTTTAAATCTTATTTAATTTTCTTTAACTGACAACTGATCTCTTTTTACCACTAATTTAACTTCTTTTTCCTTCCACTTATCTGAATTCAATCTTCTTTTTCATTTTTTATTTTTATTTTAAGAAAGCTTTACTAGTTTTAATAATCTCTCCACCTAGATGCTACCTGTTATCCATAACCAACACAGAGTATGACCACATTCTACATCAACCAAACTTAGACAGGTGATCAGCTTATCTTACATCCAGAATTTTATTTGTAAAATTCATATAATTTAAAAAGGAAACATAAATGTCCAACATGTTTTTTTGCTCCAGACTTACATAAAGTTATTTTTGAGTAGATCATCTGTTGACGATTGGCTGCTCATAGAATTTGGCCATACTGTATTACAAATATAACATTTATACTTACATCACTTCCTTCTCTAAATGATTCTGTTGCACGTAAAATTAAACCTTCATCTTCACCAAGAATATAAACATTTTGAATTCCCTTTTCTAAGCTTTCACCAGGCATTAAAAAGAAAGTTTTTTCACCCTGTAATATAAATGAAGCTCAATGAACATTGGTAGAATATTTAAGTTATAATCTTTGAAAAATACAAAAATTAATTTGATGTTGTTGTCCAATGACTGCATCATGGTGCAAACCATTAACACAATCTGGGGCCGTATATACATCCATAATATGATGCTACTTACTGTAACAATAATACCCTATTAAAGCAAACAAAGGTCACAGTTCAGCAAAAAACTATAACCAATCATTGGGAATTATTGAAACTTTTCTTGACTGAGTTTGCATTAAAATAATCTCTATTGTTATAGGTATATGACACCTTAGTTTTAAATATAAGCATTTACCTTGATAAGCTTACGTTTACCAAGTTGTGGTTTGCCATCATCATCTGTAGGATCAAGCACAACACAATATTGGCGATTATTTAATGTGGTAATATTAACTACTCCTACAACCTGAAAACAAATAATATAAAGTATAATCTATATTAACATGTATTCACAGTTCAATCTATAGCCTGGCACATAGAATAATTCTTTGATTATTTTTCCCTTTTTTTTTCTATCAGGAATTATAATGAGTTTTTTTAACACAAGCAAATACACACCAACACTTTTTGGGATTTCGGTTGGGGGGGGGGGGGGGACCACATGCTTTGACACAGATTTTCTTTCTTTAATCTTCTAGAGGGATGATAATATTTTGTGAAATTATCAAGGTGTGTAACTCTAGAATAAGTGGCTGATTACTCTCATTAAAACATGATATATCCAATAATATTTGTGACCTCTAGGATGTTAACAAGAATAGTAGAGTACATACAAAGTACATTTGTATTTAGTAATTCTCTTACCTCTTCATAAACATTAGGAATATGTGTTTCAGTATCTCTCATTGTAATCAACCATTCTTCTCCATTCTTTCTGGTAATTTTAAAATCATCAACATATGTTCTGATGGCTCTCATGTGTAAGGCTTTCTGCAAATAGACAAACAAAATCATATTAGCATTTTGACATTGTATTACTTTGTGATTTATTGTATGTAAACAATATTGAAAAATGAGTAGGTTATTCTTCATACTGAAAGATTAAACATGCCAGTCTTGTTTTAGATTGACCAGAAACTGAAGCTTGAGAAACCTACATTAAAAGCCAATATTTTCAATTTCTTTCCACCTTTAGACCCATCATAATATTAAAATATATATTACAATAAACACTACTCTTTAGACAATTCAGAAAGTCAAACCCCTAATATTTTTAAGCAAAGAGAAAATAAGCTAATTCTTGTGAGATTTACCTTTTCTGTTAATACATAGGCATTGACAACATCAACAACTTCTTCATAAGCACCAGGTAAATATGCCCCGGTCTTTTTTACAACCCATTCTTCACCTGTAACTCGTTGTTTTCCCAATTCTCTATCAATACATTCCTTACGAGCTCTCAGTCTAATAGCTTGATTAGGTTTAATAATAGTAGCACGGATAGTCTCTTCAACAACTACTTCCTTTCGTGGAATATATGTACCTACAATAATACATAAATTCACCAGGTAAGTTTTACAGTTAATTAGAATCAATAATTTATTGATCATCCTTTAAATGTTATAGTTAATTAGTACCAATAATTTATTGATCATCCTATAAATGTTATAGTTAATTAGTACCAATAGTTTAATGATCATCCTATAAATGTTATAGTTAATTAGTACCAATAGTTTATTGATCATCCTATAAATGTTATAGTTAATTAGTACCAATAGTTTTATGATCATCCTATAAATGTTATAGTTAATTAGTACCAATAATTTATTGATCATCCTAGAATTATTATAGTTAATTAGTACCAATAGTTTAATGATCATCCTATAAATGTTTAGTTAATTAGAACCAATAATTTATTGACCATCCTGTAGCCATGTGTGTACACGATGTGCAGTCTAGAGGCAATAAATAAATATGTGTAAATCAGTGAATTCTAACGAAAATTGTTTTTGTTTTTTCAACATTGGTAAATGTGATGCAATCCTAATCAAAGATTAAACAATTAAAAAATCTGTAAATTACATGTAATTTGAAGACTGGATAAATAAATCTATAGAACTAATCTGTCGACAGCATTACTAGCCCATGATGTAGCCTATGATGTATAATCCTTTTTGTGTAAATCATAATTTATCAATAAAAGAGAGAGGTACAAGATTTTTGTAGGTTTTGTTACACAACTCAAAAAACAGTTTAAATACCTGGGCCTTCAAACAACCATTCATCACCAGCTATCCTCTTTTCTCCTGCATCATCTTCAAAATCTAAAATAGCTCTTAATCTCAATGCAGCATTGGCTGGCACTATTTTCAATGGGGTTACAGGCTAAAATAGATAAAATTATCCATTTGACATAAAAAATTGAACAACTGATCTTTGAAAATTATAACCAATTATTGATATAGTGCTTTCTTTATTACAAATGTAAAAATAAATCTGTTTGTAAAGGTATCAATGACTGGAACATAAATAGAACGTATCAATATTCAGTTCCATGTATACTATATACATAAACTATACAATATATAACCAGCGGTTGCCAGGCAAGATACGCCCACATTTTGCATGAGATGAACAGAGGTCAAACTAAAAACAAAAGCGATTTTTTCGTACAATCAGGGGCCATAATCCAGAAAGATATGGTCTGAAATGCGCAAATATGGAAAGGGACTGAGATCTTTGGGACATAAACATATATTTTAAGTTTCATCAAATCGGATAAAAATTGTGACTTCTAGAGGGTCCACGTATTACGTACTTTACCACAATTTGCTTACAAAGAGTGGCCATTTTGTCGGGCAGTTTCGTTTCGATTTTACCGAAAATCAATTTCAATCTTCATTATAGTGGAATGGTGATATATTTAAACGGTTTTTAAAATCGGATAAAAAAATTGTGACCTCTAGAGGGACCACAAGCTAAAAATGCGATTTTTCGTACAATCAGGGGCCATAATTCAGGAAGTTACGATCCAATATGCGCAAATATCGATAGGAACCAAAACCTTTTGGTTATAAATATGTATTTCAAGTTTCATCGAAATCGGGTCAATATTGTGACCTCTAGAGGGTCCACAACCTTGATATACCATATGTTTACACTATTTGCATACGAGGGGCAACCATTTTGTCTGTCAGTCTGGGTCCGATTTTCACAAAATTCGAACTCAACCGACATTACGGTGTAACAGTGATATATTTGAACGGTTTTTAAATCGGATAATAATTGTGACCTCTAGAGGGACCACAAGCTAAAAACGTGATTTTTCGTACAAGCAGGGGCCATAATTCAGGAAGTTACAATCCAACATGTGCGAATATCGAAAGGAACCAAGATCTTTGAGATATAACCATGTACTTCAAGTTTCATCAAAATCAGATGAAAATTGTGATGTCTAGAGTGTCCACAAGCTAAAAACATGATTTTTCGTACAATCAGGGGCCATAATCCATTAAGTTATGGTCCGATACATGCCAATATTGACAATAACCAAGATCTCTGGGGGGATAGACATATATTTTAAGTTTTATTGAAATCGGATAAAAATTGTGACCGTTACAAACAAATTGTGGACGGAGGTCCGGCTTCTAGATGGGGGCGACAGCATAATATGTCCACATGAAAATGTGGGCGTATAATAGAAATGTGGACCTGTCTATTGTAAAGAACATGAATGTACAATAGACTTGGTTAATCTATAACTTCCTAGTAGACCATTTTAACAAGCCATGAATCATTATACCACATTGTAAAAACTGTGTATTACATACGTCATAACGTTTTGCCTTGAGCTTAACTTTGCATTTTAATATCATACTATCATTAGAAATACCAGCTGTTAATTATCTTGAACTGCCCAATGTTTTCAATATTTTGTGTAAATGATTGAAAATTTTAATTCACCCTAATTTTTTATTCCATGAACTACATTCCATTTGAAAAGGTCAATATTTACCTGTTTTAAGACTTCACCTGGGTATAATGGAAAGGGTTCTTGAGCTAGACGTATTTCTTGATCAGCATGATAGAGTTTGATTTGTCCAGCTTTATCTGCGACTACTTCATTATCAGCATTTCTAACAACAGGGTTTTCTATTACACAATAATGTCTGGGTGGCACCACCAACATTTTCTCAGGTCCATAAACAATTCTATAAGTAATATTAAGACAATTAAAATACATGTATATGATAGTGTAATCTCTGACAAAATTTGCAAAAATAATATTGAAATTTATATCTTATACTATTATCTATAAATTTGTTCATCTGTTGGAAACATTAATTTTCACTAAACAGTTTGTATTCTATACATGCTTTTTAAACTATAATTTCATTTTTTTCCTGTTCATTAGAAATGTCATACTTTCAGGCTTCAAATAAATCTGATTAAAATACAGATCTACATTTCGTTTCGTTTTTTTATACTTTCGATGGCCTACACTACATGAAGATCTGACAAGATAGGCTTTTGACCCTATGACATCAGACATTGATTAATCAATCAGTGTTGGGTGTTTCTAGTGGTTTACCCACAGTTCCGTGCATGGCACGCCAAGAAGTCACCAAAACAGACTGTTTCATTGGCTTATCCCTCACATCAACCAAAACGCTGGTAATATAACAGCTCTTTCAGATCCAAGTGTTGTAAAGGCAATTAAAACTATAAAAAACCGAAACGAAATAGGACCTGTGTTTTAATCAGATTGGCTTCAAATAATCATAAGTTTTGAATGAGTATACTGGTGTCTACATTATATTCTAAAGAATACATCATTTAAGGTATAGAGATTTAATTAAATGGACACTAAACAGCAAAGTATGAAGTCTTCTCATTTAAGGATACATGTATCAATAAAATTATGTTTAACTTTCATATTTTTAAAAGTAGCATGTTTATTTGTTTGAAAAAAAAAATATCTATATTTTACAAACCTTTCATTGTCTTGTCGGATATAAGTCTGTGGTCCAATAGTTAACCTGGTAACATTTGTATTCTGATCTAATACATGTATGTAATAGTAGGGTGGGATTCTATATAGAGAATCCTCTCCACCCTGTCGTCTCTGAGGAACAGACATTGTGATTGTCTTTTATATTATTGCTGCAAGATAAACAAAAGTAAGACATATTATTACTGTTAAATAATTAATTGTTACACACAAAATGAAAAGCCAATTCAGATCCACAATACTATGAAAAGATGGTTAATGGTAAAACTATTCTGGGAAGAATAAAATTCTGGGAAGAATAAAATTCAGTAAATGAATTCGTCAATAGGCAGACGAAGTGACTTATCGTCAATAGGTTACGGTAGGAAGATAAGTCACTTCGTCTGCCTATTGACGAATTCAGGGCCCAGACTCAAGCGCCCACTGCACAGTACTAGTAATAAATACACAGGTAATTAATGAAATATACGGGTGGTACTTCTTACCGCCGACTACCGCCAACCAATACTTTTACCGCCGACCTTCGTGAAATTACCGCCGACCAAATACTTTTTTACCGCCGACCGCATTGTAATGACTTTCGACTGTAATATAATTACCGCCGACCAAATACTTGTTACCGCCGACCAAATGCTTAATGATTCCTTGTTACCGCCGACTATATAAAATTAATTAAATTATTAGTGACAAATAAATAGATTTGGTTAAATACACAGAGTTTGATAAAAATATAGATTTTATTATATATAAATATGGTCGACAACCCTAACCCTAACCCTCGCACTAATAGAAGATAGGCCTAAAATGTTATTTATTTATAACCAGTAGCTGAAACAATGTTGATATTTTTTTTATTTGCCCTTCAATATCTAAATTGTAGTTTTGTCCTTCCATATTCTTTAAAATATATATGAATGTTTTTTCGACAGTTGTACGTGATTACACCGCAAATAAAAAATAACATTCTTGTTGTTTTCTTTTTTATAAAACAAAAACAACCGTAAAATAGTCGGCGGTAACAAGGAATCATTAAGCGTGGTTCCCCCTTGTCAGTGCCGCTCCCCGGGCAAAATTTCCGTCATAGCACACTGTATGGCGTATGCCCGTCTTCATTAGCCCAGTTTAGGAGCAGAACAGTAGGACGTTAAACCCCATTTCGTTTCATTTCATTTCGAATCATTAAGCATTTGGTCGGAGGCAACAAGTATTTGGTCGGCGGTAATTATATTACGGTGGAAAGTCATTACAATGCGGTCGGCGGTAAAAAGTATTTGGTCGGCGGTAAAAAGCATTTGGTCCGCGGTAAAAAGGACCACCGTGAAATATACAGTCACTATAAAATAAGGTAATATATAAACATACCGTTATTATCACTTTCAAGATTACAATTACATACTAAATCAAGACATATCAATTTAGTAACCCAGTATAATTATATATCGTTCAATTTATTCTAAATACTAAACTAATATTCAGGAGGAAAGAAAGAAACAAGGTATTACTATGTTCTAAAATGGTATATCGCGATCAAATTATTGCATATTCCCTGGCGAAAGTTTAAGTTATACTATTTAGCCTCGAGCTCCTTTTCAACGAGTTACAACACGCTTTACTCAAAAGATCGCGAATAGCGAGTGGAGCAAAACGGCGGATAAGACAATTATTAAGCTTCCATTAAAAATGTAAGTATAATTACCACAGATACGGCCGATTAATTATTATTACAGAATGACCATAAATTCTATCGACCAATTGTCGATTAGAAAAAATGGCGTCGTCTGCTACACAGCCGGCGTACTTTTTGAGCCAGTTGATGATTTCCGTATCAAACTCCTTTGTCTCCCGTTTATGAAGTTGCAGACATGGAGAACCTTCGCTAACTAAACCAAGAAATTTACAACTATAATTTATATGGTAAATTTTGCTGTGCTGTTCGAAAAGGTGTCTTGGTCAAATGTATTTCGAGCACATGATGAAAACGAGAGAAATATACTGTGAGGCGATTTGATTGGTGGTTGTTATTCACCGTACGTCAGGAAATGGATTTCATGATATGTCGCAATCGCCGAAAAAAAAAACAAACAAATAAAGAAAGAAAGGGCTATCTAAGGTCAATCGTGAGTTCTATTTAGAATATAGACATTGATTATAAATTGAAAATATATCACCTAAGACGACGCCTTTAACGTCCTACCTTTCTGTGGGATAATCAAGAGGCAATTAATTAAGAGGGCGGATCCGGAGGGAGGAGCCCCCCCCCCCCCAACTCAGCTACATAAAATGAATGTAAAACAACACCATTCTGAGAAAAGTGTCACGGTCGTGTGCTTGATCCCTCATCGTCAGATGGTGGAATGGGCATTCAAAGCGCGAGATAATGGTATAATGTGATATCAAAATTAATGCAAAATTTGCATTAATGCGAAATTGAATCACAATGTGATCCTATATTTATTCATAATAAAAATTGGCGTCAAACGGGTGTTGGATTTCTCTCTTAAAAGTTCAATGTGTATGCGTGCCTGGGTAATTTGGAGATGTCATGATCATGCATTGTCGATCAACTGTTAAATTTCCTTACCAGGAACCTGGCAAACCCCATCCTGTACAAATTATTGGACCCAACTCTTGCATACGCCATGCAGTGTGCTATGGGGCCATTTTCCCCTCTTATATTGAATTCCAACTGCCAGTGATTCTTTTACGTACATGCAAATGTTTATAAACAGGACCTTAATTGGTTTTTCGTCCCACCCTATGACTAGGCCTATATACCTTGCTAGGCTCCCAGTAAAAGATACGCCGCGATTTGGGCATTAAAACTTAGTGCGGGTAGAACACATGCATTTTATAGCTGTAATTTTTTTACACATTTCACTGGCAGTTTGGGACATACAAGCCTCAAAATTAATTTATGATGACATTGATTCGACAAACATATGAACCAATTTGCCCCCTTTAATAGATCGATGTTAAGGTGTAATCATAGATCGTATATAACAGTTCTATGGTGTAATACGTACTTCTTGATTGTTTCGTATCCAGGGCATAATCAAAATCATGCGTTGTTTTTATTATCTGGACGCATGGATCCAGTCACATCTGCGATTGGGTACCTAGCTGACACAGATGCATTTGGATTATAAAACGTACCGAACATATTACGTGAATTCTTATCTAAGGCGATGCCTTTTTTTCTGTCTCGAGATTTTCCACTATTTGTGAATAGGGTTTCAAAATGTGTTGCTGTATTTTTTTTTTCATTTTTTTAAATACTTAATTGCCTCTATTATCCAGACAATAAACCCTACAAATATCATAATATCTACTGGTCATCTGGCCCTTGTTTGCATACATGTGAACATTTTCAACGACATAAGTCAAAGTAATCTAAATAATCAAGGACTATGCAATATTGTTGGCAAATATTTACATACAGGAAGAAGATATTAGACCAATATGCTATTATATTTGACATTCTATTTGAGAATTCAATGTCGTGCTTATACATTCACAAAATAATTGTTATGAAAGATCAATGGAAAGTGATTATATGTTATTGATTAAATCGACAAATACATTGTACCTATAGTTACTGGTAAACAAAACTATCCACGTGTAAACAACTTAATGTAGGTTTTTGTCCGTAGTTGAATTTTATGTCGCATAAATTTCATAAACGTCCGGGTAGGTCCATACACTATAACCTATTTCTTACTGTTCGTCTACGTATATGGCTGAAAAATCCACAACGCCCTTCAATTAGTATATCTACATCTATTTAATTATGAATAGTCGCGTCTTTCGTAAAATAGGTCAGCCATTTATATATAAAACAGCCATATATATTGACAAGGTTGGATAAATACTTTTATTTTTTGCGCAAATAAAGGATAAGCATGTACGTGCATGCTAAAAATGCAAATAGAAATAAATTTCATAAATATACTGGAACCACGTATATACTGTCAACAGTAAACAATGTACTTTTACAGTCGGTATAATTATTAAGTACGAAAGCCGGTACAAAATGTCAATAATTTTGTTCAAGGCCGCTCTACCGAAACGTCTTATAAAACCCAATTTAAACGGCGCAGTTAACATGTCATGACGAAGAAACGCAGCCGTGTTGTGAAATAATAACCAAATTTATAAACTACTACGTCAAACACGAAGAACAGATAGTAAAAATTACAAATACTTACATCAAATATTGCTGACCGACCGAGGAAGCAATTTCTTGCCTTATACTATAGCTGGCAAAATCAACAACTGGGCGTATCTTTTCTTTTATACGTCATATTCATGTACAATCAGATACTATTTATTGTAATGACGGATATGTCACGTGACGCACATGGCTCGTAAATACTGTCATAATCGAGCTTATTATGTTATTATAGCATGCAATTAAGAAATGGATCAACAGCTTTTATTTCTGGGGGTATTTATGACCAAATCAATGAATGGTATAAATTGTAATCTCCAACCTGATCAGTCTTCTATAGTTCTATGCACGAATCAACATGAACACCTATAGGACTATGTATAACGCACAACTCTAAATAGAGCGTGAACTACGTACATGTATGTCAAGTTAACATAGGAATTACTAAATAACTTAAATGTGCCTCATAATAAATGTTCATATTTGTCATACAAACACTTTATTTTATATCATTATAAATAAGCAGAAAAGATCTAGGGAGCATTTAAAGATTATAGATAAAGAGCTGGTCATTCTTGCTATTAATATAATTGCTAAGAAATAGATAATGAAAAATCAATATTTCGAAAATTTCAGTAAAATGACTTTATTCTGAGCGAAGTTATGGATGTTTGAAGTCCTAACAAGTAATAGCCATGTCAGATGGAAACTCTGTTCACCAATGATAAATAGAGAATCTCCTACTGAGTCTTTTACTCTCGCAATCCAGTCTTGATTGTCAGTCTTTATCAGCAGTCTCCTGACATATTACCCTTTACCACAGATATGGCGGGTATTATCTAATCTTTTAATATTTGATGGTCTACTATCCAGAGAGTTGATTATGGGCTTATCATGTGAATAAATGTCTAAACAACAGTGAGGCTGATATTCCCCGTCGAAATCCCAAAATAAATAGATGACACAAATTAATTGATTGCACATTTATTTTTTTCAAAAGTATCGAGCAATCAAACTATACACTAAGTTTCATCACTCTCTATCTGATAGAATCAAGATTATCTTGTCCCAAAGCATCGACCAATGAGATTGCTTAGCTCTGCTTAGCTTCCGCTCGAAATGTTAATCATTGAACTCAGTCAAGACATTTACCTAATGAACATCTACATCAAGTTTAAACATTCTACCTTAATTAAAAGCAGAGTTGTTATGTTCCAAAGTCTTGACCAATCAAATTGCTTATCGCTCCTTAGCCTAAGCAGAAAATTCTCACCATCGAACTTAGTCAAGGTAATGATATAATGAATCTATATTCAGAGTTTCATCGCTATCACTTCATTACAACCAAAGTTATCGTGCCAAAAGGCATCAACCAATCAGATTGCTTATCTCTGCTTACCATAAGCAGACAATGTTCATCATCGAACTCCATCAAGGCGTTCACCTAATGAACACCTACACCAAAATTGAACATTCTACCTCAATTAGAAGGAGAGTTATTGTGTTCCAAAGTCTCGACCAATCAAATTGCTTATCGCTCTGCTTACCCTCAGCAGAAAATGTTTATTATCGAACTTAGTCAAAGTATTGATGTAATAAAGTTATACACCAAGTGTCCTCACTCTCACTTAATTAGAACTAAAGTTATCGTGTCCCAAAGCATCAACCAATCAAATTGCTTATCTCTGTTTACCCGAAGCAGAAAATTCTCATCTTTAAACTCCATACAGGCATTCACCTAGTAGACATCTACGCCAAGTGTGAACATTCTAAAGAAATTAGATTGAAAGTTATTGTGTTCGAAAGTCTTGCCCAATCAAATTGCTTATCACTCTGCTTACCCTGAACAGAAAATGCTCATTATCGAACTTAGTCAAGGTATTGATGTAATGAAACTATAAACCAAGTTTCATCACTCTCACTTAATTAGAACTAAAGTTATCGTGTCCAAAAGCATCAACTAATCAAATTGGTTATCTCTGCTTACCCTAAACAGAAAATGTTCATCTTCGAACTCCATCAAGGCATTGGCCTAACAAATACCACCACAAGTTTGAACATTCTAGCTCAATTAGAAAGGGAGTTATCATGTCCCAAAAAGTGTGACGGACAGACAGACAGACGAACCCATTTTAATAGTCCCCTGCTTTTTTCGAAAGGCGGAGGACAATAATAATTTATACATTTGAAGCTAGAAACATGCTTGCCAAACACACCACAACAACCATAATGAATTACTCTGCTATATTTTATTCCTATTAAAGGAGGCAAGTCTCTAACTCAATATCATCCACAGTCTTTGACATTGCAAAAGTTGGGCTTCTGATATCCAATATTTGAGACAAAATCAAAATTTTAAAATTGACACATGAATCGCATGCCAGAATTCTGTTGAGTGTCATTTGTAATGAAGCAACTCAATGACAAGGCTTAACATATCCCACAGGAGAATACCACTGGTGTAGACTGGAATAACCAGACGCCAAAGACTGTCATTCAATATGGACTCTTCGGAGTCTTCGCGTATATCGCCAAACATAACTGATTAGAAATTACAGTAAAAATAGAACGATTCAATGTAAATCAGTTTATATACATTCACATTACATTATTATATGCATTGCAACGAATTTGTGTCCATTTCTAGGTGCCAAAGAATTGAGATTTAGCTCCTTTAAACCCAGATGTTGAGATCAGTTGATCTTTTGTTCCTCAATCATGCCAATTGATTAGCAAACTGAAAACACTATACTATAATGCTTTACTAATATAATTTCTCCGTGAAATAT